GGGCTGGGTGTGTGTGTGTGTGGGTGTGTGTGTGTGTGTGTGTGTGTGTGTGTTGGGGGTGCAGGCATCACTGAGAAAAGTCAGCCAGGGCCCTGCGCTGCCACGAGGCCGAGCTCCCTGGGCATCTGTGGGAGCAGGGAGAGAGCAGAGCCACAAAGAAGGATGAAGCAGATTGCCCCCGTCCTGATGGCTGGAGAGAGCCACAGATGGGGATGTGAGCTTGGCTTACAGGGAGGGATTGGGTTAGACACCAGGAAATACTCCCCAGCTCCAGTGCTGGGGACCCCAGTAGGAGAAGCACAGACTGGCACACAGGAAGCTTACTTTGGTTCTGTGAGGTGCTAGCTGAGGGACCCTGGGTCCTTCCATCACCCATGACCCCAGGACATGGTAGCCCTTCTCCAGGGTCATTTTGAAGTGCCAATGGGACAACTGGGGTGAAGGAACCTGGCAGGGCAGGATGGTCAGGGGTGTCTGTGAGGTCGCTGGGTCACTCCCAGGCTGGAAGGGCCTCCGACAGGAGAGCGGTCCAGCCCTCTTCTCAACAGGCCAGGAGAATGGGGCTCAGAGGAGTGGAAAGTCCACCCAGGGACACAGACCCTTGTGGCAGAGCAGGGGCAGGGCCCCCCTTGTGCTTCCTATCACACCACATGGGCTCCCACCCGCCCTCATGGTTTTAGCAGGCCTGCTGCCCAGCTGCTCCCGCCAGGCGAAGCTAAGCGGGGCTCAGTGGTCAACACCTTATTTTTGTCAGATTGGAGTTCCTTTCCTGGGGACTTAGTCTAGGAAGACCCACTGGGCAAGGTGATCCTTGCACAGATGTTTTCTATGTTCTCTCAAACTTAAGGACTATTAGGAAAACTCAAGAAAGCTAAGTTCTTGTTGGACTTGGGCCCAGAGCTGGGGCACTCCCCACCCTTCCTGCCCTCAAACTACCAGCCCCCACGTGCACCTGAGCCACTCTCTTGTCCTTTACCCACGGAGGTGGTGTCCCATCTTCCATCTAAGCCAGCCCCTCCCCGGCACTGGGAACCAGGCCCTAGACAAGGCTGAGCACTAGGGTGACCGGCCAGTGCTCCTTCTCTCTGTGGCCTTCTCATCAAGCAAGTTCTGGTATTTTCCATCTTCAAATCACACCCTCCACTCCAATCCTTGTCCAGCGACGATCACAGCCCGGCTCCACTGCCCTCTCCACCTGCCACCCACACCTCACCTTCCAGTCTGGCTTTGCCCGTGCCCCTGGAAGGGACCAGGGCCTGGATGCACTCTCTCCTGCAGGTCCCTGGAGGCCCCACTCCGCCCCTCCCCCCCACCTCTCTGGCTACTCCTCAGCCTGTTTTCATACCTTTGGGTGCTGAGACCTCAAGGCTGGGACCTGGTTCTTGACAACTCACTCCTGCCCTGCAAGCTCTGCTTCCCTCCTCCCTCCTCCGTCCTATCTTCAAGCCTGCCTCTCAGATGCCTTCACAATACTGGGCTAGGCAAATAAAGGAGGCAAATAAAAGATGGAGCCTACAATTTAAAAGGGGATAAAGATGAAATAATTGCCAAGTGCTCTGAAGGGGAAGAGCAGGGTGGGCGGGAATGGGCTTGAACACCAGGCTTGGAGCTCATGGAGGAGGTGCCTTGCAGGAAGGGCCATTTGAGCTGAGGCTCCAAGGTCAAGTGGAGTCATCCAGGCAGCACCCAGACAGCTGGCCAAAGGGCACATCTGGCAGAGATAAGGAGGCCCAGGGGCCCAGAGAAAGAACTTGGGGCCTTTGGGGAACAGAAAGAAGGGCAGCGTGTCTGGCGTGCACAAGCTCACTTCCCTTGTGCAAGAGGACACATCAGTTCCAAGACACGTGAGGGCAGGAGTGTCTGTAGTGTTCACTGCTGGATTCCACCTCTTAGAAGAGTGTGGGCCTGTGATGGACACTCAGTAAATATTTGTTCTTTGAATTATGGAAGGCGTCACCTTGTCCCACCAGCCCATTCCCGTATATCCCACATCAGGACCTATGTGTTCCCCCTACATACACACGCACCTTCCCATCCCCAAACCAAATGAGGATCCTGTTGCCTACTCTGGCTCCTGCCACCCTTGTGAAGGTAGAATGGAAGGGATGATAAAGCAAATACACAGGCTAAAGGGGTTGTAGGCACAGGAAGACCCCAGCCTCTGGAGGGTTAGGGCAGAGGCCAGGGCATCCACCTGCCCACCAAGAAAATCACCAAACAGCCCTTCCTGCCCAGGGGGCATTTTGAGCAAACCCTCTGGGTTACTAGGACTGTGTGAAGCAGAGAGGAGCCAGGGAGCCCAGCAGAGGGAGGGGAGGATTGTGAGAACGGGAAGGAGCACGGGGCAGGGAGACCCGCGTTTTCAATAGCCCTGGGGAAGAGCTGGCATCTTACTGGCCCTGTGGAGAAAACACCAAGACAACTCTAAAGTACCAACAACTCTACCTGCCAAGGGGGGGAGCAGTGAAGGTCACAGTCACAAAGAGGGGAGCGATCTGGATGTGGGGGGCCACTCCAGCTCCCAAGGAGGGGCTGGTCTGCGGGGAGCCCAGGCAATGTGCTTGCCTGCAGCAGAGCTGGGTGCTCAGCACTTCTCAATTCTATGCAGCATGAGGTCTCTAAGTCCCCATCTCATCACACCAGCCTCATCCATAAGCTGCCTTCCCAGGATTCCCGCGGACACGGTTCTTGGCTCTAGTTGCTGGGTGAATACATCACTCTATAGCCTGGACCTTTCATCGCAGATAATCCACTTACGTGGCCATTTCGGTCCAGTCTCTGGCTATTGCCTTCCTTTGTCCGAGGCCTCATCCTTGACTAACTACGGAGGCTCACTGGGCCCTTTCCCCTCTGAAGTCCCACAGCTGGCACACAAGTGGGTGCCCTGCTCTCCAGCTTGTCCGTTACTGGAGACAGATTGTGTCTGTCCCTTCAGACCAGGGTGTCTCCTCCGTAGGACTAGACAATATCTCTTCTTAGAGGCTGTGTGGTTTGGACACAGCCAAGGTGGTGGCTGAGCAACAAAGGTGTCCTTGACCGGAAGCCAGGTCTTTTGTCTGCACCCACCCCCAACTCTGATGGTGTCCATCGCATGGAGTGGCAAACTGAGGCCCAGGAAGTCGGCGGATTTCTCCTAGGGCCCACCACAAGTCAGGACAGTAGCCTGTGGCACTCGAGGCTTATGGCCCTACCCCAGCCCGGGGCACGTCCCTGACCCTGGAGGTGGTGCTGGAGGCAAGGGCTGGACGAGAAGACCCCTGAAGGGCATGGACACGTTGCAGACAATCCCTCCAGCTGCTCTGCCCACCCCCTCTCCATTGTCCTAGCTGACACTTCGGGTTGGGTTGCTCTTCGGGCTGCGGGCCCCTTCTGCTCCCACCTCCCCACCGCCTTCCCCGGCAAAGGCTCAGCGGGGCTCCGCTAATTAGGGCCGGCTCAGCCACACCTGCAGCGTCCTGGGAGCCAGCAGAGGCGGGCGTCCATGCGTGAGGCCGGGGGTGGGGGGGGGGCGCGGAGCAGAGCGGATCAGGCCCTGCACCTCCTCCCAGATCCCCGCTGGAGGGATTAGGGGAGGGAGGGCAGGGGCGGAGGGTTCTTAGAATCGGCCCAAGACCCTGACGGTGGAACTCTCTCCGTGTAACCTCCCTTGCCGTTCTGTTGAGGAAACCAAGGCAGCCAGTGGTTTGGCACTCAGGGCCCTGGGCCATCGGACCGGGCTCCAGCCCTCCAGCCAGACTGCCAGCCCGTCTGTCCTAACCTCTGCTCCTGCGGGGCGCCCCGACCCCTCACCCCACCCCTTCTGCCCCACACAACCAGATAGAGCTCCTGCTGCCTCCTCTCCGTGGAGCACAACTCCAGCTCTGAGGAAGGCAGAGGGGTCCCTTCCTTCCCACGGTGGATACTGCTGGGGTCCCTCCCCGTCCTGATTCTACCACCCCCCTTTCTGCCCTATTCCCTCCCTCAGCCACTGCAGAGAAATCACCTTTAATGCCTCTGGCCTGTTTAGTCCACCTCCTCCTCCAGGAAGTCTTCCCCGGGACCCATGCCCGTGGCCAGGCGAGCTCTGGGGCTGGGAGTCAGCTGCCCGTCCATCCCCTGGCCCTCTGGTGCCCCAGCTCCCCTCCTAGGCTCCTTCTGCCTCTACACAAAAGTTGTCCTGCCTGGAAGTGCTTAGAGTCCCCTGGTGGGGCAGGAGGGCAGAGAGGGGCACAGGAGTCCACCTGCCCAGGCCCCCCGAGGAGGAAGGGGGGTGTTGGAGAAAGCTGCAGGTGCAGACGCACGCTGAGGAGTCCAGCCTCCCTCAGGCGGGGGGTGCCGGCCAGCCCCAGCGTGGACAGGACGCCGGTGTGCAGCGAAAGCACAGGAGCGGCCTCTGTCTTCACAGCAACACCTTTAACGCGGGCACTGGGCGAGGGGCTCACCTTGCGCTCGCCCGTGACTCTGGGTGGGCTGTTGAGTGTGAACACAGTTGCCTGACTGGGGGCCGCATGGTGCCAACAGGGGGGACACTGCTGTTCCTGCTTCCAGCCGGGGTCAAACCTCCTGGGCCTTGGCCCTAGTGCCAGGGCTTGTGGACTATAAATAAGAGGCCGGCTGGGAGGGGATCCCGGGTAAGGTTGCACCCTGGGAGGGCACATTCCAGGGAAGAGGAAAGCCGAGCTGTAGGTCCAGACCTCAGACCCCACCCCCCACTCAGCACCCAGGCGGCTCTCCCGTTCTCACAGAGGGAGGGGAAGACGGGGGAGGCGCCTGCGGGGGTGGCCTGGACAAAGGTCAGCCGACTCTACTCAGGTCTCCAGGCCCGGGCTCTGGACCCCGGGGGGGGGCACAGTCACTGCATATTTCTGGGCTTTGGTGACCCCGGCTTTGCAGTCGGGGAGGATCTGGACCTTGGTCCTCCCCGGGCGCGCGGGGCCTTCTTGATAAATCCGACCCCACTCGCTGTCAGTTTCTCCTTAGCTGGAGTGTTCCACACCCCGCGGTGCCTGCCTCGGGCCTCAGGTGGTGGCCCCCCCAGCCGAGGCGCTGCTGCCCCGAGCCCTGGTCCTGGCCGTTCTGCTCCTGCTTTGCTCTCCGCGGTGTGGGCCCGCCGCACACCCAGCTCTCAGCTGCCTCTCGGGACACTGCCCCTGCCCCGGTGGGGCTGGCTGGCTGCAGAGGGAGGGGTGGCTGTGCTAGGCCAGCTTCTCCCCATACACACCCTCTTGGGAGCCTCTGGCTCTGCTTAGCTGGTGCCGGCCAGGCCGGTTTACTCCAGTGAACGGGGCTGTCTGAGAATTCAAGAATTCGCCACACCAGGGAATGTGACCTTGGACAAGGAAAGATGGCCGGATCAGGGGTGTTCACTTTGGTCCTGGGGACTTCCAGGGTTTTCTGCCCCAGATATCCGGACTCGGCCCACCCCTGCAGGACGGGCACTCGAGCCACACCCACAGACACCCCCAATGCCCCCTCAGAAGCCCGCAAGGGTCCACTCCAGTGCCCGTGGTCCCCACACCCCTACCCCTGGATGCCAGGCATGCGCCCTTCTCCTAGCTGCTCACACAGACATGTGACATCATCTGACCACACACTCATCCATGTTCTCCCCGTGAGCACGCATGCTTGCACACACACCCCCACCCTGAGTGTACAAGTACGTACACACAGTCTCACACATTTCCTTTCTGATCACACACACGCTCAAGCTGTCACATACATATTCACACACGTATGTCATCACCCAAGTGAAGGTGGGAGCACACGCCCACCCAGGCACATGCCTTCCCCTGGTTCCACACCCATGCACCCTCCCCCAGAATGCACACATGACATGACACACACGGTGTCAGGTGTTCCCCATCCTGAGAACGCACACGTACTCTGCGTTGCCACATACATCCCCCAAGGACACTTGATTATACAACTCCTCACACTGAGTATTCTGGTGTACATATGCACACACCCCAAACACACATATGCACACAAGAGTGCACACACACACACACACACACACACACACTCTTGGGGGCAGTTGGGAGCTCTCTGTGGACTTGGGGTCTCAGTGCAAGATCACTGATGACAGGAAGGTTCCTGCAGCTACTCCCCTGCCCTTTCTTCTGGGGTACCCTGGGCTGGGGACCCGCATCACTCCACAGGACCGAAAGCCCCTTAGGTCTCCCCAGGTCTGGGGTCCTCCGCTTTCCCTGAGGCTAAGAAGGAGGACCTGCAGACCCGGCAGCCCGCCCGACCTCACCCACTGGGGGTCATACTCACTGACGCGGGGGTGGGTGATGTAGCTTCGGGTGACCGCCTGCACGTGCTCTCGGGTGGCACCCAGCTTGGAGGCACTGCTGGGGACCCCCCGGGGGCTACTGTCTACCTTTGCGGCCATGGTGAGGTGGAGGGCTGGGAGCTGAGTGCCTGAGCCTCCAATACTTCTGGCCCAGCTGGAGCTGGAGAGAGCCGGCCGGCCTCCCCCTGCGGCCACCCCTCCCTTCCACCCTTCTCTCCTCCCCCGGGGTTGACTGTAAACACGGAAACCTGGCGCTTTGGCTCTGAGCTCTTCCAGATCTGGGAGGCGCCCTAGGCCACCTGAGAGTGGGAGGCTGAGGGAGGGGCAGAGGGGTAGGACAGGCTTCTCCCACCTCTGTCTGTTCCTCCGTTCCCGCCCCCGGCCCTGCAGCCGGTGTGAAGTCAGCCCTTCCCCTGGAAACTCAGGTGCTCCGACAGCCCCATGCCCTTCACATCTCCTCCTGCGCTCCCTCCCACACCCCGCTTCCGGCAGGCTGCCATCGCCTCAGGTCTTCTCACTGTCCTCTCAACCTGCCCTCCTTGCCCTCTTCCTTGGCTACCTCTTCCCCGACAAAATTCCATCATCATCTTTTTTCGCACATCTATAGAGGATCATTCTTGGGTCAGCTTCAGTGCCACCTCCTACAGGAAGCCTTCCCTGGATCCTCCAGCACCCTGGATTCACCACACATCTGACCTCTTTCCTGTGTCCTGCCTTTTGGGGAGTTCTCTCATTGCCACCACTTGGCTGTGAGCCCCCACGAGCTCAGCCTGTGTTGTTCCATCAGACTTGGGTCTCCTTAAGCCTTTCTGTCTCATAATATTGAGGGCTCCCTGAGAACCAGGGCATGTCTCTCTCCGTCGATCACAGGACCCTGTCTCACCTTATATTTCACCTCCAGGGTCCCAGACAGCAGGTCTGCCCTGACATTTTCAACCCAAGGTAGAAAGTACAAATAGAGGGCCCCTCTTCATGCCTGGCGGCTAAAGAACCTGTCCCCTGGGCCGTGGAGCATGCACAGGTCTGTTGGGCAAAGCATCGTGGGCACCGGTGTTTGGCTGCTCCGGTGACCTACGTGTCTCCTTGCAGACTCAGGATCTCCCAGCATCTCTAAGGACCTCCCCAAACTACACTGCCCTACCGAGGGAAAGGGGAAGCACAGCTGTCTGGGGCTCCCTGTCATCCAGCACCCCCTTCTGGGTAACTCAGGGCAGCCAACTTGAAACCAAATACGCTTCCCAGAGCAGACTGGAGCTGATGGTGCTTGCCTTTTCTTCCTTCAGAGTCAGAATCTCACCCTGCATCCTCCGACCTGAGAACCCATTTCAGGGTTCTCCGTCTCCCACTTAGGTTCAACCCCCTCACGATTCCTAGTCTTTCAAAGAACTCTCTTGGGCTGGGGTGGGGGACGGGTGTGACTTTGAAGGGCAGCACGGGGGAGATCTTTGTGGTGATCAGCAGTTCTGTATCTTGTTTGTGGTGGTGGTTCCACGAATCTTACACAGGTGATAAAGTGACATGGAACTACACACACACACACACACACACACACACACACACACACCAATGCCAATTTCCCAGTTTTGATACTATACTGTAATTATGGAAGATGCAACCATTGGGGGGAACTGGGTGAGGGATACTCAGATTTCTCTGGACTATCTTTGCAACTCCCTGTAAGTCTACAGTTATTGCAAAATAAAAAGTTAAATAAAAGTATCTTCTTTAAGCAAGAAAAAATTTTAAAAAGTGCTTCAAATTGGGGTGTTTGTAATGGGTGGGTCCTCTAAAGCATTGTGCGGTCATGCCTGGGTTTACCTGTGATGCCCTCTCTCCAGCTCTCTGGATCCTGGTGTCACCTTTCATTAGTCACCCTCTTCAAGGCCTTGACATCCCCCCTCTCGAGTACACGTTTGAAAGAGAAGCTTGCAGAGGGCAATGCTTACCAACGAAAGCATCGCTGGTGGTACCATGGGACTTGTAACGCCCGGTGGGAGCTCTAACAGGCAGCGGGAGTCAGGTGGGTACCCCTATCCCCCCAAGTTGCGAACGTGGCCCCAGCTTCCGCCTCTCCCATCAGAGGTCCCCCTGACTGTAGCCCATTTTCCTTCCCAGTGAGGAGCGGGAGAGGGGATTGAGGGGCAGTGGCAGTGCGGTGGGAACTCCTTTTCCCTTCTTGTCATTGTTTTCCTTTTATTTCAGTTAGAGGCACACGCGCACACACACTGCACTCACACACACAAGCTGCGGTACCAACGTCATCCACTGGAGAGTCTCTGAGCTGCAGGGTGGGCGGGGCAGGGTGTGTGGGTGCCCCGCTTCTCGTCTCTGGGCCCAGGAGGCCGGGGTGGTGCTGTGCTTGGGGACCCAGTGTCACACGGCGGGTGGAGACTTAAGCGCTGGCCTTCTTGCCGCCGCCGGGGCTGCCTACCCTCCCGTCCAGCCGGCTGTAGGGCTCGAAGGCCGAGGAGCCCAGTTCGTAGCCGGCAGGCAGGTCCAGGAGTGGGGCGGTGCAGAAGCAGAGGGCTGGCGGAGGGGGCGGCAGCGGTGGCGACGCTGAGGCTGAGGTCAGCGGGGTGAGGTGCGGGGACGAGTTCCTGGGGTCACCCAAGGAGGCGCCCCTGTGGCTGGCTGGCAGGCGCGGCAGGCGGGGGGTCAGCGTCAGAAGGCTGGGGGCGCTGGGCGGGGACAGCAGCCGGCCCTGCTCCAGCAGCCGCAGGATGTCGGGGGGGGCGAAGGCCTTGGAGGCCGAGGAGGACGCCCGCTTCTCCAGGTCTCTGCTCTGGTCTTTCTTCTGCTTGGTGCGGCGGTTCTGGAACCAGACCTTCACCTTGGGGTGGAGCAAGGGGAGGGGTGTCAGCGAGGGAGAGGGGACAGGCAGAGCAAAGTGGCGGCGGGGGGGGGGGGGGGGTGGCCCCACCGCCCCCCTGCCGATGCAGGGGACACGGGTTCGTGCCCGAGAGGAAAGAAGAGCAATCAGACTGTCATTAAGATCTTCCCGGGCTTCCCTGGTGGTGCGGTGGTTGAGAGTCCGCCTGCCGATGCAGGGGACACGGGTTCGTGCCCCGGTCCGGGAGGATCCCACGTGCCGCGGAGCGGCTGGGCCCGTGAGCCGTGGCCGCTGAGCCTGCGCGTCCGGAGCCTGTGCTCCGCAGCGGGAGAGGCCACAGCAGTGAGAGGCCCTTGGACCGGGAAAAAAAAAAAAAAGATCTTTCCATAATCAGGCTGACTGGGGGAACTGATAAGAGACACTGGCTCCCCAAATCATGGGCACCCCTCTACTGCTACGCTGACCCTAGGATGGAGGGGTGGATTGGCAGCTGGAGGGTGGAGGTGGGAGGGCGCAGATGAGTTCCCCTCTTGGCCACCCCCCTCCTCCTGTCTCAGCCCCCATGCTGCCTCTGAAGGGAGCTCCCTAGCCCATTTGGCCATCCCCCTGTTCGAAACTCTCAGCAGTTCCCTCCCACCCCATCACCTATAAGGGCTTCTCAACGTGATACCAAGTGTAAGAAGATGTGTCAGGATGGTGAGGGGCACTTCCAACGGCCACACACCCAAAGCTGGGGACATCCTAAATGGAGCCACCAACCAAAGGGCAGAGACCTTTTTCAAGGCCTTTGAGAGAAGGAGAACTTGCCCTCTGCCAGCACCCGGCACCCGGCACCCAGAACTCCAACCCCATCCTAGTCTGTAGAAGGAAAGGAAGGCTGGGGGTCGGGCAGGAGCTCAGTGGTCAGTTCTGCGGGCCCCCTGAGAGCGATGGGATTTTCTCCCTTCTCTGGGAAGGACAGGGTGCTCCCCCCAGGAGGCAGATTTTGGGTCCTGAATCACTTGCAGGGCCTGGAAATGCCTGAGAGAAGGAGAGACTGACAGTTGCTCCTCAGCTGGAAAACCTGTCAATCACTGCAGCACCCAGACCCGTGTTCCCAGGAGCACAGAGGCTGGCCCTGCCTCTGGCCCGGAGGCTGGCAGCTGGCTGGGTAGTCTGTGCCAGCAGGACCAGGAGGGACCACGGAGTGGAGGGCCCAGAAAGAAAAGCATGGGGAGCCCCGCTGTTGGGAGCCCCGCTGTTTCCCTCCAACCTTGGAGGACATAAGGGAAGCTGCAATTCATGTGGCCCCGGGTGAAGGACAGGTGGAGAGGAGGAGGCTGGCCTGGGCAGGGTGAGCGCAGAGCTAAGGCTGCCTGGGGCCATGCCTAACATGCCACCTGTGGGAGCAACTGCCCCTCTGGCAAAGACCTCCAGCCATGAGGCTCCTCAGGCCAGAAGGTGCCACTCTCCTTGCCCTCCTACCCTGGGGGGAGGTTGCTGGTGGGCGAGGGTGAGCAGGTGGCTCAGACAGAGCACGCTCCCTTCTAGCGGCTGTGATGGGAGGGGCTCTTCCCCTGCAGGTCCCTCCAGCAGTGAGTCAGGCCTGTTCTGAGTGGGCGAAGGGGGAGGGAAGAAAAGATTTGAAACAGATGTGAGTTGGGTGTTTTAAACGGGACTGGATTGAGTTTCAATAACTGAAAGTGACCAGGGAGTTTCGGGATCTACTTTAGGCTGATTGCTGCATTCACTCACTCACTCGTCATTCAGCAGATAGGTATTGAGTGCCCACTCTGTGCCAGGCGCTGTTCTAGGCGGGCGGAATCAGCAGTGCACAAAGCAGAGCAAATCCTTGCCGTGTGGAGTGGACACACGGGAGAGGGGGAGATAGAAGATAAACAACCAATAAAAACAAACAGGCGTGGCTGTCGGGTGGCAATAAGTGCTTTGAGCAGCGTCTCTCAAATTATTCGTGGTGAGGAACCACTTTTTGTTTCCAATCTGTCGTGGACCAACACTTTTGTAAAATACAATTAAAATGAGTTACTAGAAAAATTGCTGTGTGTATTTCTAAACACTTATTGTCCATTTCTGTACTTAACTTGGCATGCACAGATAACAGTTTGTGGGCTGGCACTTTGGAGGCACAATAAGGAGGGGAGAGGCGGGGAGGTGACTATCTTATCAGTGGGGTGGCAAACACAGCACCTCTGAAGAGGTGACATTTGAAGGTGTTATGGGCAAGGGACGGTGAGGAAGATTCAACCAAGTCTGGCTGAAGGAAGTGACT